GTTGTTTTTCACTTTGGAAAACTTTAAGAAAGCTGTCCTCTCCCCTACCTTCTCCGGTAACCTCTCTTTACTTTGCACATGGTGTCACATGTTCAAGCTACAAGGAGAAAGCAAGCCCAATGCATCTATATTGCATGCGCCCACCTGCCCTCTCTTCCTCCGCCCCCCACCCCATCTCTATATCTGTGCGTCTGCGTGGTCCCACCACCACCACACACACCCACACACATACACCCATGTCTGTCTTTCCATCTCTCCTCTCTCTTTTTTATTTATCTGCTGGTCTGCCTGACTGTCTCTCTGTCTTGCTGCAGCATTCAAACTGCCCTCCTGATTCAGGGACAGAGCGTGTTTTCTCTGGGCTGATGCCAGACCCTGGAGAGAGGAGTGTTTTGAAAATTCAACTTGGACTCCTCACCAAACCACATTGCAGTTATGCTTAGCATCTGGCCTCCAGTTTGTCCACTTAATATAAGGTCCCTAACCCTAAGCATAACTTGCCCATTTGACTTTTGATCTAAAAACTTACACTTTTTAAGCTGGAAGCTCAGTTTAGAATCTTATGAAAAGTAAAGGCCCACAGTGAAAAGATGAAGAGAATCCAACTCAGCTATAATTAAATTTGGTTTCTTCTCTTTGCTTTCTTGTGAAGGGAAAGCCAGATGCCGCCCTTTCCAGAGAATAAGTTACCAGACCCTGATGTGAAGGAACAGCTTAATTCAGCAGCATAACAAGGATTTGAGCTGGCACTTTTCAGCCAGAATCTCAGAAACACACATACACACACACACGCACACACACACACGCACACACACACACACAGAGCCTGTTTCAAGTTTTAGTGAATGAAAGAAGTTCACATGATGGATTGCCATTCTCACTTTTTAAATAGCTTTTATCGTTGAAGTAGAAAATAACAATTTTTTCTTGGAAATGTTATTAGTATGTTAGCTGACTTAATATTAGGAGGCTTTGAAACTTGATTTCGTAGTACAAAATCCTATTTGAAGAGTTAATAGACAAGAAAAGAAGCATTAACTAAAAAAATGAGGAGAACGGACTATGATGGAAATAGAAAATTGAAGGGACAAGCTTGAAGTTACAGTCTGTTCTGCTATAAGTAACACATTCCTAAAAAATTACTGCATTATGCAAAATTGCATAATAACAACCACATGAGACTCATTCAGAAATTGGGTTATGGGCACAACATTCAAACTTCATCAGTGACAAACAGAAAAGATAGAAACCTAACAAAAGTGGTAGCGTATTTTTACATATATTAAATGGTTAAAAAATAAATAGTAGAATAAATATGACAGTTTACCTTATAAAGGACCTGACATTTGCTTCTGGAAGTGTCAGGAGAATTGCAGCTTGTGAGCTATTGTGTAGGGGTGGAAGGAAGAAGGTTCTCTGAAATCAGTGGAAAGTTGTAGCACCAGATGTGAATGGGTGCGGCTCCTAACATCCATAGTGAACTCTGAAGTGAATGGTGGATATTAGGAGGGAAGCATATTTTGTGTATTTCCACATGGTTCAGTTCAGCCAGGTGTAGTTTTCTGCATTCACCTAGTGCTTCTTGCAGATGAAACCTTGCAAAAGTAAATGCAAAATTTTTTTCCTGATGCCCAAACTGTTTTTCAGTTTATCAGTAGCTTCGGAATAAGTTTACAGTCTCAAAATAAGCAGAACCGTATTTAATTAGATTGAGAATTTTATTCACATCATTAGGTTTCAAGAGAAAATATACCACATTTACTCTGAGACACTTGCTCAAAAATTCTGATACCCGGAGAATAGTAAACTGAATGTGCTTCTTAAAAGTCAGAGTTCCTGTTGAGGTTTTTTTCCCCTCTTCATACCACAGAGATGGTGTTATTCCTTTAATACACTGCCCCTAGGGATACACAAGATGATTTTTGTGGATGAACATAATAGATAAATATTTTAATTTTAATATTTATTTTACTGTATATCAGAAAATGTATGTAGCAAGCTTAACTATTGTTTCATAGATACTATTGTTTTGGGAAAATACATCTCAAGTGAGGTACCCTACTTCACACTGGGTCATCTGAAAATGAGCTGGGGAGTAGTTTCAGGTTGCCCCTGGTGATTAAGTGGTGATCAACCAGGAGTTCTGACTATCCTGAAATCCTGTAGAATTGTCCTGTCCAAAATACCAATGATGCCCCCTTGAGATGTTGGTTAATATTAGACTGAGCAGGAGTAGGGAATTAATAGAGGTGATCATTTTAAATGTTGAGTACAAAATAGTATTTTATGTAGCTTTGGTAAGAACAATGAAAATAGTTTGAAGTTGATGGAAATTTGCAAAACACTAGTTGAAGACTAGTTGAAGCAGCAGTGAGCTTTAACAAACTTTGATATACAGTGCCATGTGTCAAGCAGTGTTTTCAGTGCTAGACAAATGTTAGCCAAGGTTAATGGGTTTTGAGGCATTAGCCTAGTCTAAGGCAGGCTTTCTATCTTGGCTGTACAGCAGAATTACACGGGGGAGCTTGTGAGAATCTAGATACCCAGGCTACACCCCAGACCAGTTAAATCACTTTCTCTAAGGGTGGGACTCAGGCATTGGTATTTTTAAGCTCATTAGGCTAGGCCAATGTGCAGCCAAGGTTGAGAACCACTGATCTGGGGCCATTTGAAAATCATTCCTCTTCACAAGAAAAGGTGTATCAATGGTGCAACTGTAAATTGAAGTCCTTCTCTGTGCCATACCTTACAGGGGGAATAGGACTAAGTTACGGCTTAGGGAAGTTCTACCACCCAAGGCAGCCAGCAGACCTGGACATAGATTTTTATAGTCCTGGCAGACAAGTGCTAATGCTTTGAAGTATAGTCAGAGTATTTGTGAACACAGATGAGAGAGAAACTTTATTTAAAAAAAAAGTGCCAAATTTGAAAAATTATTAAACTTAAATTATTTTTGTTTCCTCTTACTTATAACTTCATATCAGAAAAAGGTGAGAAAATTCAAGAAGCACTTATAAATCACCATCAACTTAGCCTTCCTAACTTGGTTGTGGCCTTTGTGTGGTCAAGTTGGAAAATTTGAATTTTGTCTATAGATAACATAATAGTTTTGTCCTGGTTTAGAGCAGGTTCTTAAGTACCTCAGAAAGCATCTTTGAACTTAATGTCCTTCCTTGAATAAGTCATCGCAGCCTCAGAGAGAGGCTCAAGACAAGTATAAAAACACCTTTGGAAATAAACTATTTAGGTCATGCTTGTAGTCATTGGTTCTACTATGATTAATTTTTTAAATACTCATAGAGCTTCTATATTGTGATAAGTAAATGTTGGATCACATACATTTAAAACTTAGAGTTAAGCAGATGTGTCATATTAAATTACAAGTTTAATTGAAGACATCATAAGGTAGCTTAAGTAGATAAAGTTACTAATTAATTTGTTTCCAATGATAACATTCTTCAACAGCTCTCAATTTGTTTAATATGGATTGCCTTACTCTGAGAAAACCCCATTCTCCATTGTATAGACTTATTTTCATTTATACAAGTGTAGTTTGTACTTAACCATGAATTACTTCCTGGTTTAAACACCAGGCATAGCTATTTGTGGTATTTTTTGTCTTGCACTTTTGGCATCTTAGTGGTATGAGCCGGAGCTATGCCATCTGTAGTTGAGTGAGATTATTTTTTCAAGGGCGGGGGAGGGGGGAGTTGAAATGATTCGCTAGAAAATTTCAGAACAGATTCTTAAGGAATGATAAGATAACCCTAGAAACATTCTTATTTGATGTCATGTGCTAGTGAGTAGTACAGAAAAAAAATGAAGGTACAACTTGTTTCTTAACATTTTGCTAATTTGAAAATTGGAAAGGTACAACGCTAGAAAAGAAGAATGAATTCCATGCAGTGTCAATTAGCAGAATTCTGCAGATGAATGAATAATTTCCTTTTCTCTAACTGCAAGTTGGAGCCAGTGAGGTTCACACGCAAAACCCAGTATTCTCAGGTTTTGAACAGCTTTTTTCCTAATGGTTATCTGTGAATGATAAACTTCTTTATGCTGAGATGTTTCCTATGCAGAAGGACAAGTTCCGAGAATCCTAAATAAGTCTGTGGGCCCTAGATAAGCCATTTCTGAAAGCTGCAGAGTTTAATATATTTTCACTTAGTGAGGCATCTTTGAACCTAAATGTGTCAATTTCAGGGAGACTCTTCCAGGGTTCCATTGGAGACTTGCCTGAAACAATGTCTTTTTTTCCTTTTTCTTTGTTTTCCTTTTCAGAAAGAAGACATAGCTCATCTAGCAAGCCTTCTTTGGCCGTTCCTCCTACTTCAGTATTTTCCTTCTTCCCTTCTCTGTCCAAAAGCAAAGGAGGCAGTGGAAGTGGAAGCAGCCGTTCTTCCAGTGGAGGTGTTCTAAGTGCATCCTCATTAAGTTCCAAGTTGTTGAAATCGCCCAAAGAGAAACTGCAGCTCAGGGGGAACACCAGGCCAATGCATCCCATTCAACAAACTAGAGTCCCCCATGGTAGAATGTGAGTATGGCCAAGAGGGTTATTAATGCTTTACTTGATGCAGGTGGACCTGTGTACACTGGATGCATCTGAGAGTATCTGAGAATCATGTGAAAGAGAGCCCACTTTAGGGGAAATTCAAATACGTGTTGTTTCTTTTTGTTTCCCCATTATATCTTTGGGCAACTTTACAGAACGGTAATGACATTAATTATAAGGTTAATAATACTTATTTATTGCTGCTATATTGTGTGCCACCTATTGAAACTTAATTCTACCCATGTATGTCATTTAAGTATCACAGCAACCCTATGAAAATAGGTATTGTTGTTATCCCATTTTCTAGGTAAGGAGAAGGAGCGTGATAAGGTTGAGGAGCTTTAGCTGGGGAGCCCTCAAGTCCAACAGGCCTGGGTTCAAATCCCAACTCTGTCATTCCTAGCCGTGGGGACTTGGACATGGCCCTCATTTTATTTATTTATTTATTTAATTTTTGGCCTCTAAGAATAACAGCCATTGTGTATTGTGCAGAGCTATTGAGAGTAGTACAATTAATATATCAGAGTCAAGCACCAGGCATGATATCTGGCTCACAGGAGAGAGTAAATAAATGGATGCTGGTGCTGCTGCTGTTGGTAATAATAGGCATAAAAAGGTGAAGAGATTCCCAGATGCTGTTCTAGGATTTTCTGGGGCCTGCAAAACACATAGGGAAGCATCACTTCCTCTCCCCAGCCCTGGGTTCACATCACGAGTGTGGTGATGAGGGAGGGCTGGAAGAAGTTTACACCCTCCAGGCAAGGGTTTGGCAAGCTTCTACAGTGGATCCTTAGGCTGGCAGGCTCCTGTGGTCACATGAGGGAGCAGCCGTGCATTCCCATAGAAACATATCTCGCCTCATCATGGCATCCCTCAGCCTTAGTGACCAGTGGCTTTTCCCTGGCCTGCCTCCCTTTTGGAGGCTATGCCACACATCTCAGGCCCAAGGTCTGATAACCCGGTTAATCGCAGGGCAGCGTCCAGCACCTGCTACTGCTCAAAGACCTTGCCAACTGGGAGTGGCCATGGCATCTTGCAGTGTCTCTGCTGCTTTCAGGCTGTTCCAGGTACAGCTGTTTAGAGCTGTTTATCCTGGTTGCTAAGTCTCCAGCCTCTGCTCGTCTGTCAGAAGTGCAAGTACAGCAAGCTTGGCTTTTGTTCCAGGAGCTGTCTAAAAGCCAAAGAAAATGTCAGTGCAGCATGTAAGTCACTTTGCCAGTTCAACAGCTGTTAGAGCATTGAGTCCACTAAACAAAGTTTAGAAAACCTCATCAGTTCAAATCTTCTGTATTTGGAGCTGGCCTTTAGAAGGGGACCGGGACAAGTGTTAGCTTCATACCAATATTTGCCAACCAAATGATTGACTCCAACAGAAATCAGTTCTTTTTAGTGGCACAGGTATTCAGGGCTCACCAACCGTGGACCAGACATTTGTATTTCAAGCTCCTGTTATGGAAACCTTTTTCAAGGACTGGAGAGTTATCACTTCAGTGGCACATCATTCACTAATTAAACATTGGTTTTGCTCATTAACAGAAGCAGAAAGCCTCTTCTTGGTTATCTGTTGTTAGGCTTATTTGAGTTCTTGTAAGTCCTTAGTGACATTTCTTGGAAACATTCTTTAATTCTAATATTCTTTTCTTTGCTCACTTGATGGATCCTTTCTTTAAAATTACATTTCTCAGAAACATTCTCTGCAGGTCCTGCAAAATAGTCTTTGGTCCTTTTAGACCGTTTTATATTTTATTTCTTGCAGGAATTGCATTGGGTATTAGGTCTAGATCTCTCATAGGCTCCTGTTTAAGATTGTTCTGGAATGATGAAAGACCAGGTAAATTTGGTGGTCACTAGAGTTTTTGCCTTGTCAGAAGGGCTTATAAACTGAATAAATGTGAACTTCACTGAGTTTTCTGGATAGTTCTAACAAATTTTCATAACATGCCTTTGGGAGCCTACCTCTCTACAGTGCATGGGTAGATCCAGGTTCTCCCTCTTCCCTCTGGCTCATCATTCATCTGGGGCCGCTGAGGCACTTAGGTACTGGTGTTCTCGCTTCCCCTACCACAGTATGACGCCCTCTGTTAAAGTGGAAAAGATTCATCCGAAGATGGATGGCACACTACTGAAATCTGCGGTGGGGCCAACCTGTCCTGCTACTGTGAGTTCCTCAGTCAAGCCTGGCCTTAACTGCCCCTCAATACCAAAGCCAACCTTGCCTTCACCTGGACAGATTTTGAATGGCAAAGGGCTTCCCGCACTGCCCACTCTGGAAAAGAAGTCTGAAGATAATTCCAATAACAGGAAATTTTTAAATAAGAGATTATCAGGTAACTTCACGTTTTCTCTTAATGTTTCTCTGTGTATTAATTGGCTATTCTTAGAGAAGCAAGTGAGCTGCTATCTATAAGTCCTTTTTTTAAAACTGGTCCACTTCAGCTTTAGGAGGAAGTTTCTTAAGTAATATGCTTGACCACTTTATTGTTGTCTTTAAAATGCAAGTGTGTGTGTAAGTAACATAAAAATAGCTTTCTAGTAGTGTATTTCTGAATGGAGTAAGGCAAAAATGCTGACTTAAACCATCTCTTTCCTGTCATCTGGTGGCAATAATCCCCACTCTGTAAGTGATGTCGCTGCTTTTTTGCAGTGCTCATATGTAGATTTTATTCAAGTTATAATTTGTCTGTTTTGAGATTTTTCCTCTTTTTCCAGGAAAAAGAGAGTATTTGGTGGGCCCATAGTAATGTCTGTATGCTTTTGACAGAAAGAGAGTTTGATCCTGACATACACTGTGGGGTTATTGATCTCGACACCAAGAAGCCCTGCACCCGGTCTTTGACATGCAAGGTAGGTGGCCTCCTGGACAGACCTGAATACTCTGGTAAGCTCGGGGAGCTGAGATAGATGGGCATTGCTCCCAAAGTCTCTCTAACCCAGAGGGGATCCGAGCTGTGGATTGTTCTGAATTTTGTAAATGAGGGAATAACTTGGTTTTGATGAAGAAAGCCTCAGGTTTAGAAAATGCGAAACCTCTTGTCGTAAACTACAATCTTAAGAGAGGGTTTATTTCCAGTGAGCAATGTTGTATCCAGAGGAATAGTATTCTTTTATAATCAATATGTTATTTCAAAGACTTTTAACATTTCTTCAGAGAAATTTAATATGAAAGGCTACCCTTTACTGTATTTTAGATTATACTGACTTAGAACAGTCCAGAAATTTCCTTCACATATATGTGAATATTCTTAAAATGTTTTTGTAATCGGTGGTCCTTAAATTTAAAGAGCCACTTTAAAATATTTGTGACTTTTAGGGAGTCTTATTTTTCTAGTTTTTTTTTTTAAATACTAGATAACATGCAATCTATTTTATATATAAGATAGGAAAATGTAATGATCCTCTTTCTGTCCTGAGGTTTTCCTTTAAAATGCCAGTTTGCTAATAAGAAGATGGTATATTTGCTGTAAAATAAGGGTTGTGAATATAGGGGTGGCTCAGGGCATCAGTGGACCTGCTACATAGATTAGCTTCTATGTTTATTTGCATTTCTCTGGAGAGTATCCCCAACTACCCTTAACAAAGGTTCAAGAGGTATTAAGAATCACTGCTTTGAAACCTGTAATTTAAAAACCCTGTTTGGAGGAGGGGTTAAAAATTATAAAAATTGGTCTCGTCTTCTTAAAGTTAATGAAATTGTTGAGGTATTATTTTAAATTTTACCAAAGATTGTGTTTGAATAAAGGACTTCAGACCCCACTCTGCCTCATAAACGGAGGAATGTTACAATCTTCAGAATGGGAAATGTTATTTCTAAGGGGTTCTTTTTTTAATTTAAATTTCTTATTTAATTTTAGTATACGGATTTTATCTTACAGCAATAGTTCTGATCTTTTGGGGTAAAAGAGTTGGTCAAGAGCACCTTTAAATATCTAATTTTTAAAAAAATCCCAGATCCTCTTCCCTGAGGAAAAAATATATGTACACATGTATATTATGAATTTCACATTCTATTTCAGGAGTTGTTGGACATCCCCACTCCATGCCCCACCCCCCCGAATGTCTAGGTTAAAAACTTGTAATTCAGAACAAATTGCCTTTGTTTTATATAATATTAATTGAACACACATAGTGGTGTGTTGTTGTTCTCTGAAGATAGCCATTGTAGCTCTATGGGATTATGTCCATTTCGCTGCCCCTAAGAGAACTTGTGAAAGGGTGCCTCGGCCCTGCTCCATATCATTACAACTGCTCATCCTCTCTCTGCTTTCTTCCCGCCTACCTGCCTCTTAGTAACAGATTTCTCAGTGTTATCATACTGGTCAATGACGGATGCTTTCTTTATCCAGCATGCTCTATTTAAATCATTTCTGAGGTATATTGGTGAACCAAAAGCTTTATCAACTCAGAATCTGCAAGGAGTTTGACCAACCTTCTTCATTTTCAAATCATGTATGCTCTCCTTGCATTCTGTTAAGGGCGTCATTATTGTGTGTGGCATGATGTTAATCCTGTCATCACATTAATAGGTATCTTCAGCCCTGACATGTCATGAGTTCAGCATAGAAAATGCAGCATCTTGGCAGGCCTGTCCTTTCCCTTACTTTCTTCCTGTGCTGTTTGTGAAGTGCTTCTCCCTTTCTCTGCCCTACTGTGGCCTGAATCTATTCAGCTATCATGGGCTATACATGCTTGAATGCCTTCCTTGAATGTCCCCCACATGGCTGCCCAAGTCTCTCCTGTCTTAGACTTAGATCATTGTCCATTCTCTTCACTGTCAGGGGATCTCCTGCTTCTCGCTTTCTCATCTGTCTAATGTCCTGTTTAATGTCTTCTTTGCCTTCCATGCAAATAGATTTTGAGACCAGTAGTCTAGTCCGTTTAGTCACTGTAGAAATTTTTATTGCACACATCTAGGAGCACAGGCATCATTCAGGGTCCCAGAGGATTTCGGGCTTTAACAAAATCAAGGCATGTTCCCTACCCTCATGGGGCTTACAGTCTAATGAAAGAGATGGAGATTAATCTGATGATCGCTCAAATAAGTGTAAAGTTACCATGATGAGTAAACAATGGAAGGAGGACTATGTTATAACAGCCTTCAGTGGAGCGATTAGGCCAGGGAAGCCTCCTTTGCCATAAGAACATGGGCCGGAATCCATGTGACTTAGCAGAGCAAAGAGGGGTGAGAGAGATAGAGGAAACAACATGTGTGACAGCTCTGTGATGGGCAGAACAAACACCTTCGGGTCTGAAAGAAAGCCAGGAGGCTGAACAGAAGGAGGAGGAGGAGGCACTTGGAACCAAAAGAGCGAGTAGCAGGGACCATAGGTGTCAGAGTGTGCGGGGCCAAGAAGCCTAGTTATACAGTCATTCTTTGTCCTGTGAGCCTTAGGTAGTCCCCAGAGAGTTCTGATGGGAGGTAGGTGCATCTGATTTGTGTTTGGAAGGTTCTTCAGCACTCAGTGGAAATCCAAACCAAGCCGGGAAAATATTGATTATCTCATCCTACCTTCCTCACCTGGTTTTTCTGTGCTAATCACCAGTGGACATTCAAAGACAAGGAGAGGCTTCTACATCTGTCTGGAGAGACAGGCAGGTGCACCAGTGACATTATCTATTCATTTGTTCATCCAACACATATTGGAGGGTCATTATTTTTATATACTTTTTATTCGAAGCATTTATTGAGTGCCAGGTGCTATACTAGGTGATGGTACAGCACGAAACAAAACAGTTCTTTGTCTTCATTTGGGGTACTTCCTTGTGGATTTATTTCATATTGAAGAAAATTAAGAATTTAAAAAGATGCTAAACACATTTATCTGTGCCAGATTAGATTTTGGGTGTACATAGTTTGCAGTGCATCTAAGAGAAAGGAGGTAGGTTATGTTATTAAATTTCAAAAGGACATTAGAAGCCTAATTCCCCTTAAACTCCTTAATTCGAAGCAGATATATAAACCTGTAGAGCAACATATTTGTATAATATGTAGAGCCATGAACACACATAAAATATAATTTGCAGTATTTTGTAACATAAAAGAGAAAAGTAAAGTAAATATCTGGATGAATTCACTTACATTTGGGATATGTGTCTCTTTATAGGGATTCACTCTGTTTTACATCTCTTCTCTCAGCCTTATAGACTTTACTCGGCCTTAGCAATCCCTGTCTCCAATTGCTTTGAGCCACTTTCTTTACATGGCATTTTCATTGAACTAGAGAGAAACAGTTGTATTTAGTTTTTACTCTTTGGCAGTTACTAAAAGAAGACTTTTTGATAAAACAGATCTTTGGAATAATTGTTTCTTCCCTTGTAACATTCAAAACTCTAAATGGCCCAAAGAGGGATTTTTCTAATGAAGTTGATAAGAGCCCCAGTAAACGAATTATTACTATTGCACAAAACATGAGTACCTGTCACCTGCTTGTTTCTGTTTGCTGCTCACTTACATACCAGGTGGCACAGCTAACATTCCTTCTTTCTTCTGGTAGAAATAACATCTCCAAACTCTCATACATTGGGAGCCTAGAATATGTGCTTCTATTCTAGCTAAAGAAAAAAGATGATACTCATGATTTTTAGCTTATCAAATGATGAACAGCCTTTTACTTTGCTTATGGTCCAGAATGCTTTTTTATTAGGAATAATGTTTTTGGATATATGACAGAGAAGAAATTATTTCTGACATACTTTGGTTTCTGTATTTTTCTGGCCTACAGACACATTCCTTAACCCAACGGAGGGCTGTCCAGGGTAGAAGAAAACGATTTGATGTGTTATTAGCCGAGCACAAAAACAAAACCAGGGAAAAGGAATCGATTCGCCATCCGGACTCTCAGCAACCAACGCAGCCTCTCAGGGACCCGCATCCCACCCCTTCTAGAACTTCACAGGAGCCACACCAAAACTCTCATGGAGTGATTCCTTCTGAATCAAAGCCTTTTGTAGCTAGTAAACCTAAACCTCACACCCCTAGTCTTCCAAGGTAAGCCAAGTTTTCCAACCCTTTCTCCCTCCTTCAGAGAACAGACTTGGAGACACTGTAAAACCCCACTGTAGTCATGTCAAGAAACATACATTGGGCTCACTACGAGAAGATGAGATGTTTTTCCATTGGGTTTTACTTTAAGGGGAAAAATCGTTGAGTTCATCATTGTGCTCTTCTCGGCCCAATGCAAGCAGCAGAATAAAGCTAGAATTATCACTCAACATTATAAGTCTCGTAAGCCCACTGAGCAGGCTGACTCTTGGGTCCTGCCTGCAGGTTAGCAATTGGAACATTTCACATGGCTTTGGCAGAATTTCCTATTCATTTGTCTCGCTTCTTGCAAAACGCAGCAGTGGGAATCCTTGCTGGGGACAGACATTCAGCCTGAGTTTTTTCAGCATCCATTTACGAACATTTTTTTTTCATTCATTCATTTGGGACTTTGGCCTAAGCATGAATTAGGCATTTTAGCCATGTAGTAGGCAGTGGATCAGGGTGTTTTACTGAGAACTTGTCATACACACACCTTGGAGACAGTGCTGGTGGACAGAATATATGTATGTCTGTGCTTGGATATTTAACCAAGTTGAGGTAAAGGACTTTGTACCCATTTCCAAAGAGAAAGAAAAGAGAAAGGCATTGAGAATAAGGGCCTTCAGTGTTGGGCATCGGAAACAAGGACTTCTGCTCAGGAACATGCCAACCCTTGTTGCCATTGCCTGACATTTCACACTCACATGTCTGATTCTTGAAATTGTCGCATGACGGGTGGAAGTGCCTCCCTCATGGAAACCCAAGTTTGTGCCTATCCCGACACAAGCCCTCTGGTTTCTGAGCAACACAGTGGAAGAGCAGTGGGGGAGGCTCTGTAGAGCGTAGCCAGGCCCCAGCCATGATTCCTTAGCAAGTCCTTTCTCTGGCCATCTTCTCATTGAAGTTTCCCCATCTATTAAAAAAGTAAGCTTGCTTCTAGAACCACTAGGACTGTATATATGTAGGAAAAATGCGTTGCTGTCCCTGAGTAGCAGACTCTAGGATCGGTTATCCACATATAGTATAGTGCTACCTAGTTCTTTTATCACCTTCTAGCCCTCTTGGGTTGTTTTAGAGCACTTTGCCAATTATCTCATATATTGCCTTAGTAACCCAAATCCATGTGAAATTTAAAAAGGAATCAAAGAAAGTATTCTCTTAAATCCCATAGATGTTTTCCCTTCTTTGAGGAGACTAGAAGGACTTGAGCAACCCAAGTGGCTATAGAAAGGAGAACTAGTATAAGTGATCTTGGACGAGATCTGGCAAGCAGATCTACTTGACATCGTGCAGTTTGGGAGAAAGGTTCCTTCACTCTGGGGCCACCTCAGGTTTTCTCAGTGTTAGAGGTGGACCCCAGACCCCCTAGGTGGTTTTGGATACGTTGCTGTATCTGAGTTAAGGCGGCTGATTCCCAGACATGTGATCTGATCAGTGCTGCACTTTCTACTCACCAAGGCCTCCAGGCTGCCCTGCTCAGCAAGGTGGGAGTGCCCCCATTGACCCTCCTCCAGTCCATGAATCTCCACACCCTCCCCTGCCTGCCACTGAGCCAGCGTCTCGGTTATCCAGTGAGGAGGGAGAAGGCGATGACAAAGAAGAGTCTGTTGAAAAACTGGACTGTCATTATTCAGGTCATCATCCTCAGCCAGCATCTGTAAGTTCCACATCCACCCTGCATTGACCCTCCCCACGCAGCAGGGACACGACACTGCAGGGGGGCGCGCCAGGGACCTTGGCATGCCCATACATGTGGGACGCGGTCAAGATGTGAGAGCAGCTCAGAACAGGGTGCCCCAGAGGTGGCATGCACTCTGTCCGGGGACGTCTCATGCTTTTCCCTTTCTCTTCCATGAAACTCAGGGCCAGTCATTGTCACTGTCATGCTTCACAACCTGTGGTGCTCAGAGTAAGCTCTGTCTTTCATGGCAGCTCCATTCCTGAAGGAGAGAGACCCTCACCAGGTCATGCTGCCGTCGGAGTTAGCAAGCACGTGTGGTTGTGCTCTCTTTTTCAGTTTTGCACATTTGGGAGCCGGCAGATTGGAAGAGGCTATTATGTATTTGACTCCCGGTGGAACCGGCTTCGCTGCGCCCTCAGCTTCATGGTGGACAAGCATCTGAATGCGCAGCTGTGGAAGTGAGTGCCTGTCGTACCAACTCTGGGATGGGGAGAGAGGACCAACTTTACTCAGCATTGCATACTCTTTATTTCTTATGGGACCAGTTTAATGAATATATACTTATCTAAAATGAAAACATGGCCTTTGACTAGCCCTGAGAAGAAGGCCCCTCATCATTCATTCATTCATTCATTCATTCATTCATTCATTCTCAGCAAATAAGTCTCGTTCTGGGTTCTAGGGTTCCAAACAGGCACCGCCATAGGTATGGAGCTCAAGTTCTAGTTGGCGGAGAAACTCAAAAACCAATAAACAGAAAATAGAGATTATAACTTGTCATAAGGGAGACAATGGAAACACTAATAATCATTAACACCGAGAGCTTACTGTATGCCAGACAACTTTAAGATTAAATATATTTTCACATTTCACTTTGTCAGCTGACCTTGATTATCACCACTTTACAGATAATGAAACTGAGAAACAAGGTCACACAGCAAGTTAGTGGTAGGGCCAGGATTTGGGCCCAGAGGCAGTTTGGTTCCAAACGGAAAGCTGAGGTGATAAAAAATAGGCCAGAGTGATTCAGGAAAGCCTACCTGAAGAGGCATCCCTTGAACTGAGATGATGGGTGAGAAAGAGCAGCCATAGGGATGGTGGGAGGAGTGGGTTCCAGACAGAACCATGTGTTTGAAGGTCTTGAGTCAGAAAAGAATGTGGTTTGTTTGCGAAAGAGCAAGAAAGTGAGCATGGTATAAAATAAGAATCGAGAGGCCAGCAGGGACTACATGACACTGAAATGGATTCTGAGTACAGTGGGGAGCTGCTGAGAGTTTTAGAGGAGCGATGTGCTCCTCCAATTTAAAATTTGGAATAAGACGGTCATCTTGTGTGACATTTTGTATGTTAGTGTTTCCCAAACAGGATTTTAAGTGGAAGAAGAGCTCCGTGGCCAGAAAGGTTTAGCTCAGTCATTCCTGATGTACCATAGTTTTTCTTCTTGCTGCAGGACTTCTCAGACCCTTTGATGGGCACTCTCCATTGTAACTCTTAAAGCAAGGGATATCATGTTATAGTGTGGAATGTCTCCCAGGCTCTTTTGACTTGGGAACCTCTTTTAGAAGAGCATCTTGGGGAACCAGCATTTAGTGGTACCTATTTGGGGAAACATTGAGCTTTGCTAAAGGGGGCTGTCCAGTAATCCATAGGCCATAGGCCATAGGCCATCCCACATCCTCCATTTGGGCATCATTCACTAGTGCCTCCCTGAATGGACTCTGCCAGGACATTCACTTGTCTCCTTTCCTTAGTTTCCCAGTAAAGTCAGAGGAAGCTGGTCAGAGGCTTTGGATAAGCCCACCATGCAAAGACCAGTCTCCATGATCATTAATATGACTTGTATTAGTCACCTAGAAAACCAGAGCCAGAGCAGTGTTTCTGTGCTTTTCTGTTCCATGTTTCTTCTTGGTTCCTCTTCCTTTGTGAAGGAACATTATTGTCTCTTCCTAGAGGCAGACTCAGGGCATCAGTTTGTAGGATTCTTGGGGTAGGGGGAGGGTCTCACTATTTCAGAAAACCCCCAAATACATGAAATCTCAGCTTCCTTCTTCAGACTACCCAGTAGGACTTGGAGAGCTTATTGAACTTTTACTAAACTGTGAGTTTAGGGTACTCCTAAGAGTTTAGAAGGGTCCTCAGAATGTTTTGTCTTCATTATATTGATAAGAGGTTTATGGTCAACACTTTGGGTGACGATGGTTTCAGTTTGTAGTGACCTATGTGGAGAGGTTTTCCTCTTTGTGCTGTGAACTTTTGAAGAAGGATAACAACATTGAGTCCACTGTCTGTCTCTCTCTCTCTCTCTCTTCTGACAAAGGCTGACTGCCTTATCCTTATCAGTCACTTGCTTCCAGCTCGGAAGAAACCATTCCTTTTTGTTAACATGACCTTTGGTTTTAAAAAAAAAAGTCAATACAGCAGATTTAGACTTGTTGCTCAAGTGATGAGCTGGCTCACAGGCCCCAGTCAGACAGGAACTTAGAGGTGCCAGGCCAGGTGCTTGAGGAAGTGCTTCTCGACTCAGGCAGCCTTTTCGGGCAGCTGCCAAGACTTGCTGGGAGTCACTCAGCAGTTCTCAGCCAGAGGAGAACTGTTCGCAGGTGGCACTGAAGGAAACACTGAAAGTGGTCGTCCTGTCCTACTGGCTCAGGCAAAGTCCTCCCTTCTAGGAGGAGTCCCAGTTTGGGTGGCACTCCTCAGCCCCTTACCCTTTAGTTACTTATTGAGGTTAATTTGGGGGTAAGAGGAGGTGAGATTTGAGTATGACAATGAAATAAGTCATCTTCAGTGTGTGGAGTCTCTGAAATTAGACCAGCAGTTCCTCTGGAGCATGACTGTGACCCCAAAGGTCATTTCCAAGCACCTCTGATTTATGTAAACTGATTGCCTGCTGTTGATTTGGAACCGCTATGCCATATCCATATCCTCTAAGGAGCTGGAATGGTAATCAAGATGTTTTTAAGGTTTCTTTTTTTTTTCTTAATTTAATTCTTTAGATTGGTAATAAATTCACTTAGGTGAAAAAAGAGAATGAAGAGGTATACAAGAAAAATTTTAGTCTCCCGTCCCCCACACCTACCCCGCCCCTCCAGAGGAAAGCATTTTTCTTAGTTGCTTGTATATCTTTACAGAGCTCATTTATGCAAACGTAGATCAGTATGACTACATATTCTTTCCTTGTCCTTCTTTATACAAAAGTTAATAAATGACTTAGAAGAGCTTTTTAAAAAGGAACTAGTAATATCATCCAGAGAGAGCCACATCCCCAACCTGTAGACTCCCAATGCTTTTTTCTTTCTCCAGGACTCAAGTCCAGCAGCCTGGTCTTTAGGCTCTGTCTTCATAAGCCACCTGGTGGCCATGAGAAGCCACTGCACCCAGTGAGCAGGGCTCCTCCAAGGTGTCAGTGCCCACGACTTACCTGGGGGTCTTGTTGAGATACAGATTCTGTTGAAGTAAGTCTGGAGTGAGGCCTAGGGACTCTGCATTTCTAATTAGTCTCTCAGGTAATGTCATGAGCAGTACAGGGATAGATAGAATTCAGCTTCTCCATCTTAGGTTCATGTTAGACTCCCCTGGAGAGATTTAGAAATTATTATTGTCAGTCCCCTTCTCCCCCCAGGGATTCTGGTATAGTTAGTCTGGGAGCAGCCAGAACTCCACAGGTGATTGTAATGTGCAGCCAAAGTTGAGAAGCACTGACTTAGGGCCAGAGATATACTCTTGAATGAAACTCTTAAGCTGCTACAAACCTTGTAATTAATTCTCTTTATTAGTAACTATAGTTCTTCTTAAAACGCGTCTGGAAAGCACTTTGGCAGCAGTCTCGCTTGAGATGAGGAACTAGAGTCCCAGCTGGCATGGTGACTGGATCCACTGGAGCTGCCCCATAAAGTTAGGAGCGGAGCATTCTTGACTCTTGCCTTCCAGTCAGGCCATTTTCTGTTTTGCTATGTCAGTGTTAATTCTGTCCATAGGGGTTTTTGAGATTTGGGTGCTGTCACATTTTAAAATCAGAGCTAAAATTAAAAGGGGACCTCCCTGATTTGACTAATGACTCCCCTATCTCCAAATAAATACCTTGCCTAGACATTATTAACAGAATACATTGTTTCAGCACTATGGAAATCCCCTGAGATGTGGGGGCTTCATTCCCTTGTACAGTCATTGAGGCCAATAGTTAGGATTTAACATTTGTTATTAGTTATCTGTGCCCTTCCTTCTTCCTTACTGATGTTTTCTCTCAGCATTTGAGTGCCTTCTCTTCCAGGCACTGTGCTAGGCACTGGTGCTACGATGGTAAATAAACTGTGGATTGTTCCATTTGCAAAGAAGTTAGACATTGATCACACATTAAAACCATGCTGAGTCCTCCAAAGTCCAGGGACAAAGCGGTGTGAGTCTATGGGGAACTAAGTCAGTGAGGATGGTCAGGACAGATTTCCTAAGAAATGATAATGGACTGAAACTAAAGGAGGAGCAGAAGTTAGGGTGACAGTGTTCTAGGCAGAAGATATCTTATGTCGTGGCCTATTCTCAGAACTTAAGGGAAGTTCGTGAACAGCTGGAATCAGGGCGCTGGGGGTGGTGCTTGGGAGGTCGCGGTGTGAAGCTGGGGCAGTAGCAGCTGGCAAGGCACATGGAGCCTTACAGACCATTATTCTGAGAGCCCTAGGAAAGGCATTAAAGAGTTTGAAGGAGAGAAGTAACAATTGCTTCTGCATTTCGGAGTGATCCCTCTGGCAGGGGTGTACTTCTCAGTGCCAGAGGAGACGGGGTGTCCATCCGGAAGTGTCCATGAATGGCTGTGGTGAATGTTACTCACTCCCTTCTCCTTTTATGCAGGAAAATCCCACCAGTGCCCAGTACCACATCACCTGCCTCCACACGTGTTCCTCACCGGACAAACTCAGTGCCGACATCACAATGTGGGGTCAGCTATCTGGCAGCGGCCACCGTGTCTACATCCCCAATCCTCTCGTCCACCTGCATCTCCCCAAATAGCAAATCGGTACCAGCTCATGGAACCACACTAAATGCACAGCCTGCCTCATCTGGGGCGATGGATCCTGTGTGCAGTATGCAATCCAGACAAGTGTCCTCTTCATCCTCATCCCCTTCCACGCCCTCTGGCCTTTCCTCAGTGCCCGCCTCCCCCATGTCCAGGAAACCTCAGAAGTTGAAATCCAGCAAGTCTTTAAGGCCCAAGGAGTCTTCTGGTAACAGCACTAACTGTCACACCACCAGTATCAGTACCAGCGGCACCTCAGGAAAGAAACGCAAAACCAGTTCTCCACTGTTAGTCCACTCTTCCTCCTCCTCCTCTTCCTCCTGTTCTTCTTCTCATTCCATGGAGTCTTTTAGGAAAAACTGTGTGGCTCACTCTGGGCCTACCTACCCCTCAGCAGTAACATCTTCCCATGGCATTAGCCTCAACTGTGTGGTGAATAAAGCGAACTCAGTGAGTGTCCGGCATGACCAGTCAGGGAGAGGGCCCCCCGGAGGGAGCCCTGCTGAATCCATCAAGAGGATGAGTGTGATGGTGAACAGTGGCGATTCCACGCTTTCTCTTGGCCCGTTCATTCACCAGTCCAGCGAACTGCCTGTCAACTCCTATGGCAGTTATTCACACTCACACACACCTCTAGACAAACTCATAGGCAAGAAAAGAAAGTGCTCGCCCAGCTCCAGCAGCATCAACAACAGCAGCAGTAAACCCACAAAGGTTGCCAAATTGCCAGCCATGAACAACGTCCATGTGAAATACACGGGCACCAGCCCCGGGGCACAAGGACTGACGAACAGTTCCCTCCTTCATCAGGTAGGAAATGGACTGTGAGCCCTGTGGGGATGCCCATTTCCTCTCCTTCAGATCTTTCACAGCTTGGACATCTGTATGGCTGGCTTTGTTGGTTTGCCTTTAAACAGATGTCCAGCTTTCTGGTATCTTTTAAGAAAAGCAAGATTTCATGGCTGTATGAGGGTAAAACAGGCTCCTCTCTGCCAGAATTTCTGATGATTTGGAAGATGCTCCTGGGTAAGGAAATCACGGAAGTGCATTTAGCAGATAGGGCTGTGGAGACCATCCCGCGTGACCGCAAAACCCTCTCCGTAGCCAGCGAGTGTAGTCTTGGGTGGACAGTGTGTGTCCTGTGATGCTGTTCAGGAAGGAAGCAGGCCATTTCCTGGAGAACAGTTCCCTAGTATGTTCCTCTGAAGAAAGCTAGGGCTAAAATCAAACTGATGTAGAAAGAGATGATTTAAATTTTTAAAAGAGCTTTTAATATGTTTTCATCAAAGAATTTTAGATTTTCTGGTTGACTCTCACCTTATGTTTTCTCCTCCCTGTTTTCCAGAAAGGTGGAGAAACAGCATTAAGTATAGGCATGGCAGATGACTGAAATCTCTTAAAAAAATCTGAACGTGGGCACATTGGTAGAGATGTGACTGAGTGTCAGATTGCTAATTGACCGTGATTTTCTCTTTCATGCTGTATCTGTCTTATCCCCAGCCTTCTGCCCGTTACTGTTTTCTCCTGATCTTCTATCTTTTAGCCATTTCTTCCAGCTTCCTTTGCTCTGACTTCCAGCTCATCTCTCATCTTGTTATTTCATTCATCAGGATGTCTCCTCACCTTGCTTACGAACAGGAATTTCAGCAGCATCACCCAAAAGCCCTGATTTGAAATGTGAGGCTCTTTTTTGTTTGTTTATTGTTTGTTTGTTTGTTTGTTGTTTCCTTCTTCGTCTACAGAACCTAACTCAAAGGCCAGGTTAGGACTTTTTCAGAAAATACCAAGAAGTTTCTTACTGTGATGTAATTTCCCTCCAATATCTGTGTGAATTAATACCCAGTACCAAAGGTATGAGGGAAATAATTAGCCATTTAAATAGCAGCTACTTAAATTCTTAGCCTCAAATACATGGATTATTTGTATATTGTGTGGCTCTTTGAGCAGGGGCTTCTGGGCAAGTGAAAATGCGCTTTTACTCTCAGTTTGTAGTTAACTCATATAGTTTATAACCATAAAAATGTAGGGCAGACACCTCAAGAAATGGTATACCCATCCTTTAAAAAGCCCTTCTGAGTGTATTTTCCTGATTCTGCATGAACCCTGCTGGAAGGACGGTCCATTGTGTTGTGGTGCCCACATTTGTATTACTGTGCGCACTCTGTCTTCACGTAGACGTGGCTGCAGACCTCACTGCCCGCAGGTAACAGAAAGGAGAGGAAGAGGATGGGCAGGCGCAGCAGACAGTAAAGTGCCTGTGGAAAACTGGCAAGTGTAAGCCCCATCTACATGGAGCAGCTGCTCCCAGAAACTTGTTACCATTTTCAGAGGGAAACTGCAGATCTGGACTTGCATGAGGAATTTGGCCACTTTTAAAGCTATGCAGTTTTTTGTTGTGTCTTAAGTGTTTAATCTAATATTGCCCACACTGGCTAAGTTTGTTCTGGCTCATGAGCCACCAGTTTGCCACCTCTAATTTCAACCATCTGGGGTAGGGGGACTATGTCCCATTAGGATAATCAGCCTAAGTTTGTCTTCTTTTCCTTCAAATTACTTTCAACTTCAGTTTATATTTGAGAATGATTTCCTCTGTTCAGCAGAATACTTTTTATTATGCTGCACAAATCCTAGGGGATCCCATGCCTGGAGATTAGAGGATCGGTGAACCCCCTGAGAATGTTGTATGTCTTTATTTCTATGCTAATTTACTGTAAGGGGGATCATATAGCTTTCAAACAAATCTCAAAGGGACCCATGACTCCAAAATGCTTTAAAAAATGTTGCTTTTAGAAAAGTAGGGACCTCAACACACTGTTTCTCGTGGAGCTGACTTTAAAATAGATAACTGAGCTGGTTGAAGCCTCATAAACAAGGAACTGCAATGGGACAAGTAGGGAAGCCTAGGAGATGGGGCTGGATAACCCACCCTAGTCTATGAAGGTGGAGTTCCCTCTCCCCCAGCATGGGCACTGCCTTGGGTGTGAGTTGTCACACCTGTGTGTGCTAGCCCATTCGACCTTGTTCAGTGTTCATTTGACAACCCGGAATACCTTCAAGGAAAAAAATCAGTAAATAAAACCAACAGGCAAATGTGAGCCTTTTCTCTAAGCTAGAAACCCAGCCTGTATCTCCTCTGGACAATTTTTCTAAAAGTCAGGCTTTTCGAATGATTGTGCCCCAGAGCAGTGAAGGCTTTTGAAAGCTAAGGCTAACTTCTATAGCTGACCGCTTCTGGCATCTCCCAGTCGATGAAGACTGGAGTGGCATGTGGCTTTTGAAATATTCTTGTTTAGCATCAGGGGTAGTGCAGTATACAACCACTTACTTACTCTTTCATTGTTTCCCCACCCCCCTCTTTTTTGAAAGCCAAAAGCACGTCCCTGACAGCTGAAAATAGCACGGGGAGGAATAATCTGGACACTTTTGACGACAAGTTACACCTCCACTCAGCACTCTGGACTCCAAGATGCCTTTGAGTCTGTTTTCCCAACCTCCTGTGGGCCTCAAGGGTATAAATCTGCCGGGCTGTTGTTGTTTTAACGAGGATTTCCCTGAAGCTATGTCTGTAGCAGTGAGTACTCGTAAAGGACACTGGATCAAGTTCGGCCACCGAATTGCTTCTATCAGTGTTAAAGTGGCCTGGACTGCTTGCTACCAATCTGTGAGAAGTTTTTGTTTTGTTTTGTTTTGTTTTTAACTTGCAGTATATCACAGAGCCACTCTTCGAGTAGATTGGCTGGGTGAAAGAATGTTTTGACGAGAACATTACTGTAGACTTTTCCTCCCTCCCCCCTCTCCCTGCCCCAGTTCTTTTTTACACTGTCTTCTGCAGGTCACTCTCTAGCAGTTAGGCACCTTAACTGGAGACCCCTTCCAGAGGAGAGACAGAGCTATACCTTGAACAACCCTCTGGAGAAGGGGATCTGTCATTAGGTTTTTATAGCAACATTCCAAGAATGGAATATAGATATTAGCTCAAGGCACCATGACAAGATTGCCTGTATTTTGCCCAGCATTTTACAAGTAATTTGGAATAAGAAGCTGTCAGAAGATTCTAACTTACAGACTGGTTTAAAGCCATCGATGCCCAGAGAGCAAGTATATGCCATTTTAGAGGTTTACTTTTTTGTGGTACAAAAGCAGTTCTTTGTGATTTTTTTTTTTTTTTAAGAAAATGCAAATGCAAACTAGTTTTGATAATGAAAAACCAAATTTTGGTGAGTGGGGAGTGGTGGATAAAATCACTGGGGAAATTTTTTTCCAAGATTTCCAAAGAGAAAGAATTTTTTTATCCTTTAAGTCTTCATGTTAAACTGTGGCAGATTGGGTTGGTTGTCCTGCCCAGTCGTCTGTTTTCAAAAAATTGCCTTTGTAAAGTGAAATTATCAGGATGCAGCCGAAACTGTCATTCGCAAAGTCATTGATATATTTAAATGTTTCCAAGGCACCCTCTGCATTGCCCTCAGTTTCCTCTTTGTATACTGTCCTGGGACTAAGTATGAAATTTCCACTTCGAGCACTCCCCATACTGTGTGTGTGCACTTTCCCTCCTGCCATTACAGATGTTTCTTTGAATGCCACTGGGATATAGGGAGCAGGCATCCAGGGAGCGGACGTAGTGAAAGTGTACACGTACCCATGCAGAGATGACGGGACGCATGTATAGTATTCCCCCAGCACACCGTCTTCTCTTGGGATTAATGCCATCCATCTTCCTGAGAGAGTTTTGGAAACCCTCCAGGATATTTTTTCTGGTACCCCAACCGAAAAGAAGGAGCTTAATCTTTTAAAACATCATTGCTTGAGAAGGTGCCATGGAATTTGAGGGATAAGTTAAAGTTTTTTAACAGGCGATTCCACCACCACAGCTCCTGAAACAAGAACCAGGCACATATGCTTAGAAGGACACAAAAAGTTGCTGAACACAGGGTAAATTTCCCACTGATCACTGCCCTGGGCAGGGCCAGGCAGAGCCAGTCAGTGCATCCTTTCTTCTCTGCCATTCTTGGGTTACTTCCGTTTCAGGGAATTTTAAGTCAACAACAGGTAGAATGAATAAATTCTTGGTTACCAGCCTAATAATGTGAATTGCTACACAATGATTATGTAAGGAAACAAAAACTTTATGCAGATACTTTAGCTGTAAACATGTAAGATGTTGATCTTTTTAAAAAGCAAGGGGAGAACAGTATCTTGTTCACCTCTTATGCAATCAATCAGTAAATGTTTTTTAAATGATACTATAGGAGAGCGTAGTAAAGAGAGAGCATGGATGGGCCAGTTTGATGTTGTTAGGAGAAATCAGTCTGGTTGTTCCAGCCCAGTGGAGGGAGGGACAGGAGGTGAGAGAGAATCAGAACGTACTAAGTTGATTCCTTGGTGACAAGTGCAATGGGGTATGGGTAGAATTTATTTTCAAAGCCAAGGGGACTTGATGGTTATAAATAAAGTCGCTTTTAGCGATGGAATTTATAGACAGATCATGTTGTTCCAAAAGATGTGAATAGGATCCTCGATAGTAAGTTGATTCAGAATAATGTAGATATACCTAGATTAGCAAGTGTTGATCATTTGACTTCTTAGACTGAGATTTTAATTGAATTTCATTATGTCTCCCGGTAGTACAAAGAGCATCGGGATTAGGAAATTAGCCATTTTGGATTCTGCCTGCCACAAACAAATATTCTAAACAGTGCTATTCAATTTTAGACTGTTGTTCAAATATTTCATTTTCTCCTACAACTGCTTTTTATTATGATGAACAATTAAGACCATTTAAAACACGGGAGTACAAGTATTTTTTTGAACTAAATTAGCTTGAAAAACCAAATTTGCAGTGGTTAGGTTGTTTGTAGACAGACTTTGGTATCAATTTAAAACCAAGATAATTTTTATATTCTTTCCAATAGAATTTCATGTCAACTCCTGCAGTTTTCTTAACCTAAAAGAAATAAAGTGCTGCAATGATGAACAAAGAATTATACGAAACCTACTTTTGTACCTTTATTTTGGAATTTCTTGTTCTATTATAAATATGGAAGTATCCCTATTTCAGAAGACATATTTTGTTAAAAATGAATTGTACATATTTAAATATGTATTTTTGCACAGGTCTTTTTTTCTGATATCCTGTTTTGGTACAATTGAGATCATCTAGTATTTATTTATTAATTAATAAAAGTAAATACCTTTTTATAATTTGAAGTGGTTCACTGCCAAGCCAATAGTTCTAGAACCTGCCTCCTTTACAGTTTAAGGGATGCCTCTGTCCTGTGAAAGTCGTTTTGTCCCTTTTAATGTCTCGGGAGTGGATTCGTGCAGATGAAGTGGGCATTGCTTCTCCCTAGTTGCCTGGTTTCCCGATAGACTATGTGTAACTAAGTGACACACTGCTTTTCTTTTGTTATGTTTTATGTATGAGAGTGTGTGCGTGTGCACGTGTGCACGCATGCGCCTGTGTGTTTGTATGTGTACTCTCTGAGCACATGTGTGTTGTTATGTGATGTGGTTTAAAACTAATGGGAAAAAAAACTGAAAGTGCCTGAACCTAGTTTTAAGCTTAGACTGATTCTCTTTAAAAAGACTTGAATGTTCAGTTGAACTTTTGGAGTTTGCTTTTTCCACCTAAATACTGTTTCTAAAATTTTAGGGGAGGAGTTGAAAACCACCAATTGCTGGTAATTTTATAAAGTATTTTAAAATTAAGACTTTTTGCTTCACAGTAATTCAACTGGTGATGGGTTGCCTAGCGGCACCAAGGGTTACACATCTTTTTGTCAGCCAGCAACTTACATGATGTGTCCATTTTGTTATTCACTCATCAAATACAGAGTTTAAAATAGAATATTTAAAATATTTTATATTCCAAAAATATACAAAGTACCTCTGAGAAGATTGAAAAATGTATAATTTGAAAAAATGTAATTTATAAAGGCAGCTGTCTTCCTGCAAGAGTTCTGTTGCCAAGGAATTTATTAATATCTCTCGTTCTGTCCTGGGGGGGAAATGTTGGGCTTTGGAAAATGATTGTTAAAAGTCTCAGTTGTTTAGAAGAAAATAACCATTTTTATATTTTGTGCAAAACATTTTACATTTTCAGATCATTTAAATGAGCACTACATACTGTCAGTGTGAATGTAGGGGCTTGAAAGCATTTTGCTGTTTTTTTTTGAGCTTGGTTATGAAAGCAATCTCCTGTGTTAAAATGTGTGAATAGTTTGATAATTTGTACACATAATCAAGAGCATCTCAGCTGGACTTTGTGTTGGCTGCTGTATAGAACATGAACAAATGTCAAGGGATAGAAAATTACTTTGGATATTTAAAAGAGAAGAAATATAGAGTCTATTTGTTTTGTAACAAGTTTCTGTAAATAAAATAATTTATACTATTTATAAGAAAAAGTTGTGCTTCGCTTTATGAAAAATTAGTTTGTTGAACAAACATGTTACTAAACAGGCAATAAAATTAGGACTTCTCAATAAATAAGGTTGGCTGCATGAACTATTTTACATGTTTCTGCCTCATTCTGATACTAAGCCCCTTTCAATCTAGTCTGACTTTTATTCATTTTTGGTATCAGACACCCTTTGTGAAGCACCTTCCTTTAGTGTCCCTTCTGTGCGAGCTAAATACTTCTAAGGGCTTAGGATGTTTCCATTCTCAGGCGCAAAGCTTTGCCATGGATAAATTAATAATTGTGTTAACAGTGAACACTACCGCATCCCTGCCCTACAGGTTTGTCAACAAAGGACAGCTTTTGGATTGAGAAACATTCTACTTTAATTGCTTAATATGTTACTTTGATAGCACACTGTCAGTTTTGGTTAGAGATAAGTGTTTTATCCTGAGCTGATCTGATCTCGTCCTTGCTTTTATATACCTCTTTTATTGGCAATACAAATACGTTTTAGTATTATTCAGAAGAGAACAATTTTTTATCTCTAGACATGTGGCCAGTTTTATCATTTGCAAAGAAATCGTTCTAAAAAATTATAAATTTTTTTTGTTGTTTAAAATAAGGGAAGCAACTGATTTATGTTTTAGAGAAAATGTCTGTGTCTGACATGAGAGTCAGGCTGGCTTCTACCCCCAGTGCCCCATGGACTTCCCATTCCCTCCTAGACCAAGCAGCTACTCAGGTTCGTTCCTAAGAAGCTTTCTGTGGATAACTCCTTTCACCTTGGGTGTCCCCCTTAAACTTCCCAGGAAAAGGTTCAACTGCTCAATCTCTTGCCTTCTTAAAAACTTCCCTTTCCTTGCAGGTGACCTGGCTGTGGATAGTGAGAGACTCCCAATTCAAGGAAGGGGGTTTGGCAGTTTGGCATCTTGATGTACTGGGAATTCACCTGGAGAAAGGCAGGCTAAGGTCATTCTAGGCAAAGGGAGCGGCAAACCCAGCAAGGTGTGAAGAAATGTCATGGGGCCTTCATCTTCAGGAACGTATTTCCTAACCAAGTATATCAGAGCCCAGAGATTTTCATGAGCCAGCCTTGGCATGGTAACAGCTGCCAAAAGTAAAAGCCATTCAGATCCTTAATGGAGACTCAGGAAAATCAAAGCTCTTAAATCTTTTTTTTTGCATGTTCACTCTTTTTCGCTTCGAACTTGTCTTTACCCTTTTCTCAAGTCCTAATCAAAAAGCTCCCCCGCTAAAACAAACCTAAGTTCTTCCCCCTTCTTACCTCACTTTCTACTCTTTATCAGTCACCTCTTTCAAATAAGAAACTCTTGCCCCTGTTGCTAATGGGAGTTCATTAGTTTTTCAGCTTGTAAAGCCATAATTCCTAGTATCTGTTATCCTCATTTTTCACAACCAAAGCCAATGGACCAAAGACACACTAACAGAATATCTCTAACAGGGTAGGGTGAGACTGTCAACAAAAAGATTTCAGAGAAAAGGAGAGCATCAAACACATAATTTAATACTTTTTAAAATCCCCATCGGGCCCTCCAATCACTTATGGAGGGCAGAATGGACAGGTGAGAACCTTGGGACAAAAGAAAGTTACAAAACTGTTGTAATAATCCAGGTAAAAAGTTAACTAAATTTCCAAATTAAGGTGGTGACCATGGGGACAAAGAGGGGACTGATTGCAGAGATCTTTTAAAAGTAGACTCAATAGACCTTAAGGTCTAATCAAGTTGAACATTAAAGGGAAGAGTGAGTCTCAAAAATAACTTACAGATTTTTACCCTGGCCAGACTGGTTGATGAGCTTAAAGTGACATATGATATGGTGTCAAAGAAGGAAAAACAATGTAAATAACATCAAAAAAAAAACACACACAAAAAAACCCCACCTGAACTTGAGCTACTGGTGGGTAATTGAAATTTAGTAACCATTGTCTGTATGTTCAGTCTGGATGGAGCTTTAGAGAGAGGTTTGAAGTGTGGAGGGTTGTCTTTCACTTTTAGATGGGAGTGGTTAAGTTCACATAGGTAGCTATCAGATTTGGCTTATTATTGTTAAAATATTACTTATCACTTAGTTGAGTGCCTAACATGCCAGATACTATAACAAGCATCTTAGATGCATTCTCTCACGAAGCCCCTAGAAAGAAGATAGTTTGATCCTAGTCATACTGATGATCTTCTAAGGAAGTTAGGTATATTGCCTAGAGTCCCACAAATAGTAGGTGGCATTGCCAGGCTGTGAATTCTGGGCTGTCATATCAGTGGTTCCCAACCTTTTTTATTCTGTCACAGACCCTGAGAATCACATGAAAAAGTTACAGATTCTCTGACAAAAAGCATGTAACAGAATGAAGTGCTTGGTCTGACTCCATCTTGTTCAAGCCTGCTTTGTTCCCATGGTCCTCAGGTTTATAGCTTCTGCTTAGTCTTGCATAGAGACATACTAATCATCAGAGGAAATCCGCTTGCAGCTTGAGTTTTACCAAAATCAGCCCCTTACCAGAAAGTGTCTATCCCAAGGAGATAAGGGAAGTATGTAAAAAATAGCGATTGTTTATCAAAGATTTGCAGGAACCTCGTGACCAGGTTCACATCATCTAGAGTCAACAGACAACAAAGAAGTTACACAATCTTGCTTGGACCCCTGCTGGTGCCCAGATATCTGTGGTCATCAATCACCTCTCGCCCCTCCCCCTTCCCCCCCATTCCTTTGACATAAAAAAAGTGTGAATTCTGTACTTTGTTAAGATGGTTCTTTAGGACACTAGTTTGCCATCTAATCAGCTTGCTGGCTTTCTGAATAATGTCGTTTTCCTTGCCCCAACACCTTGTCACTCTTATTGGCTGTTGTGTAGTGAGTGGTACAACCTTGGTCTTCGTTACAGGCACAGGCACACCACATTTTATATTCCATTTCCAGGATTTCATAAACTTGAAGAAGCCTATCCTCCATGGCCCAGAAAGAAGAAAGCCCAAAACGAAAACCTGGAGGAGAGAGTATTTTGGTGAAGACAACTGGAAAATCGGTATTTTAGAGTGAAAAATTAGATCAGGGAAGGCAGAGAAGGAAGTTGAGATGGTTTAGTTAGAAGTTTAGACAGTTGACTACATCATCATTATCAACACACTTAGGTAACATTTTCTTTTTTCTCCTGCTTTTCTGCAGGATTGGTTGAGTAGAAAAGTTAGAACTCGTGTACGAAGATTGTGAAAGAATTAAGGAGTTTATGTGAGGGTGTAGCTAAGTGATTGATGATTGCCTAGATTGGGTATTCAAGGAAGAGAACTGGAAGCTTCCAAGTAGAACCTATGCAGGTACTCTCAAGACATTTTATTTGTAATTACCTTCTTGTTAAGTCTTATGATCCTTCTTCCAGGTAATTTGTCTATGATTAGACAAATTGACTTGTTCACGGTTACAGAGAAAAGTCCACCATGTTCAATTCAAAATGGCCAGTAGTGAAGAGGGGCTCACATACAAGGCAGGTCCAGGAACCAGAATTATGACAGTGGCATAAGCACTTTTAGGAATAAATCAGAACAGAGAAATCCGGTAATAGAGTTGAAGTGGAACTCCAGGTTTCATTTTCAAAAGCAAAGCTGTTCAGAGGTGCTTGTGATTCCTGGGTGCTGGGTGAGACCACGGCAGTGGATGGACGTGGTGTGGAGTAAAAGAGCCCCAGAGTTAATGCTCAGGAACCGTGAAGCTAGGGTTTTATTGCATAAGGTTATCCAGTTCAAATCGGGGTTGAGAGGAAGATGGAGCCAGCTGCTCAGGTCCAGAGTAAATGGCACGGGATGTTGTAACTTGAAGGTCTGAAGGCAGTGGACACAGTGAGTTGGTGGTATTGCTGGGTGGTAAGCAGCTTCAAAGACATTTTGAATGAGGGTAAAAACACAATGACTAGGACAGCAAGCGACTAGGAAATGACTTCTTCCTGGCACCAACTTCCTGAGGTATGTATGAACAAACAACCTCTAATCCAGAGGGTTTCAAGAAAAGCAGAGTCCTCAAAAACCAAGAGTAGGTTTATCAATATTGATATTCTACTAATTGCACAGATGTTTGGGAAAAGGTCTCTGGTAACCTCTAAAAGAGAGGGTTGGCAAAGTTGTCAGGACACCACCTACTGGCAGTTTTGGTCACTTTCCCAAGGCAGTCTCAAGCAAGATGTATGAATCAAAGGCTGATCATGGCAAATTGTTCCTTTTATTTCTAACATCCAGTCTGCACAGGGAAAATTATGGATTTCTGAATGATAAGCAGTAAAGTCCTCCCCCCTTTACCATGTACTTCGAGGTTACAATAGCTTGGACAAACTGCTACAAATTCTTGATATCCTTTGTAGGTCTCGAGAAATACAATAATAAAAACTTGTGATTCTATAGCTTTGAAACGAAAACCAGTAATTATTAGATCATTTCATGTTTTCCAGATAAGGATTCAACTTCACTCCTCCATTGTCATTATGGAGATTTGAAGTTTTGTTATTAACAACTTCAAGCTTGATAGCAATTAGTGAGGAATTACCACAGTCCCCCCACCCCCACCCTTATCCCATAATCATGGGGGAAAATAATATTTCAAGTATTGGCTATTAATCCTCTATAAAAAAATAAAGATTAAAAACAGCATCAAGGATTAACTCAGAATTATGCAACTGATTTGCTAATGATCAGTAGTAACCTATTCATCAATTACTATTAATGCCTTGTCAGGCTGCTAAGGACTAACTGTGTTCAGTCATAAAATCATAAGTGCATTGCAGTGCTTGTGCTCAGAGAACAAATGAGATAAGTATCCTTTTAGTCATTTGGGTCAGGTAAAGTTTGGTGCAGATAATAACAAAAATTGGTTTTTAGAGACAGTATTTCCATTCCTAAAAGATTGCTAGTTAGTACATTAAAAACTGACCTAATGCTAATATTTCTAATATAGGAAATAATTAGTATAATTTGACATAGCCTTTATATATTTATCTTATTAAATAGATAAAATTTATATGCAATCAAATTTTACCGATAAGAGAAATTGGCATTAAGGTTTAAAAAATAATCACAAAAGATAGTTCATTCTGGTGACTCCA